GAGTTGTGTGAGCTGTGGGAGCACGAGTGCAAGCGTGAGCATGAGTGCGAGTGTGTGAGCTGTGGGAGCACGAGTGCAAGCGTGAGCCTGAGTATGTGAGCTGTGGGAGCGTGAGCGTGAGTGTGAGCGTGAGTGTGAGCGTGAGTGTGAGCGTGAGTGTGAGTGCCGGCTTTGCTGGGAAGCGCCAAGGGGAGCCCCAGGTGCCCCCCAGCCCAGCTCCAGCCCTTCGGGCCCTGGGGGCTGTCAACTTCCCCGCAGAGCTGTCCAGCTGGCCGGGCAGCTGGGGGTGCAGGGGGTGCTGGGGGTGCTGAATGCAGCCCCCAGACGGGGGCTCTCGCGATGGCAAAGCGCAGTCAGCCGGAGGCGCTGGACGATACAAACCGAATCAAAAACAAGTAAGTGGGGGCGCGGCCGAGGGGCAGGGCCCTGGCCTTGGGGGCGCCCCCACGCTGCTGCCTGAGGGCCCGGGGAAGCTCTGGCTGCCAGACACACGCTGCGCCGGCCGGCCCCACCCGGACATGGACATGCCGCCCTGGGGACGGGGGAGGGCACGGAAGCACCGGGCGGACGGTGGCCCCGGTGGCCGCCTTCTGGAGGGACTGGCCCCCGCGCCACAGCGGCTCGGGAGGGGCTGAGGGTGAACGGGGTGCCACGGCCTGGAGCCGCCAGCGAATCCCAGGGGCCTGCAGAGACACTGATGGTGGGAAGGGCACAGGGAGGTGACCAGGGGCCCAAGGGCGGGTGGGCTGAAGCCCAGCTCTCGCCCCCTTGAAGCCTGCAGACCGGAATGCTCCAGAGGGTCGGACGGCCCAAAAGGCCGCGGGCCCAGCAGGGGGTGCAGAATCCAGGGCGGCCCTCGCCCACCGGCCACTGGGTAGCCAAGGCCCCGGACATGCAGCTGACCGGGCGGCACCCAGCCTCCTGCTGCATCTGCTGTGGGGCCTGCTCCCCCAAGGGCCACACTCAGGGGCCTGCACCTTCTGGAGGCCCCAACGCTTAGCTCTACCGGACACCCGAGACCCCCATCCATGGCCTGGGAGCACAGGGTGGGGGTGCCTGAGGAGAGGCTGCCCCGGCAGGCTGGAGCCCTGGCGGAGTGTGGCTGTGGTGTGCGTGGCCCAAGGCTGAGCCTTCACCTCCCAAGACTTGAGCCCGGGCCGCGCGGGGCCGGGCCTGTGGGTCTGCGCGCCACCCTGAGCCCCAGCCTCCTGCAGGGAACGCGCCTCCCCCGCGGACCCCTTCTCTGCTCGGCACCCCCAGCCCAGACGCCCAACCCAGCAGGAAGGGTCCGCACCCGGCCGGAGCCGCAGGGAGGCCGAGTCTCAGCGCTGCTGTGCTGGTCCCCGCTGAAAGCTCGGGAGAGCCCATGCAGGAGGGACGGTCCCCCTGCCAGGGGGCGCAGGTCACCTGCTGCAGGGCCCAGGGCGCGCGGGCCCAGCAGCGCCGCCCTCCCCGGGGAGAACGGGAAATTCCTTTCCCGAGGCCCGGCCAGACTGACGGTGGAGCGCAGTCCCCAC